CAACAACAACAACGTCGCAACCAAACTTTGAAGGCGACAATTTGCTAGGACAAGCTTATGAGGAATCCGCACAGAGAGTTTTCAAACGACCAAATTCGAGAATTACTTGGGATCATATGAAATATATTCAAGAGGTTAGGTTATTCGATCATCTTTTGATACTCTGATAAGAATTATTGAGTACCTCTTGCAATTAGTTTGAAACTATTTCGAGTGTGAGTGCATTCTTCAAGATACCACGTATTGGTATTCAACGAATCTACGAGAAACGTGGCGATCGATCACGGCCGAATGCATGGCGACGATATGGTGCATTGATGAAACTGCATGAAATTGGTGGTTGGGCTTCGAAAATCGGTATTCCTTGATCTCGATTTCCATTTGTGCACTTCACTGAAGTTTCAGCCTTTTCATTGTCTTGAGAACATTTTCATTGTTTTGATGCGGACTCCGCAAGATTTGACGTAGTGCTGTGATTGTTCCATCGAATATACTCCTTCACCAAAATGAATTCACCATGTCCGAATATATTTACCCACCCATACACCAGACGTTCTTGCACTTTGCCAAATTTTCTATTTACGGATTAGTTTATCCGTTAGCCGTATTGAATCTAATCATGTCGCACAGAAAATTTCTCATGCTTTTTTCAACATTCACTGTATTGTCTGAGCATTTTTTATTCTCTTCTCTATGCCCTCTGTCGATCGTTGCAATCTTTATATGCACATTCTATGAGATTGTCCATATTAAGTAAAATAATGTTTTGCGTTTAGTTAACTAGATCGATATGAACTATGCATTTTCACTTGAAATGATACTAGAACTCGCAATCGTTTCAGGAAAACAGCAGTCGAGTCGTCGGCATCGGAAATATTACTTCGTAGAGCCTGGTTCTAAAACCGGTAATGAGCCAAATCGTCCACCGATCACAATCCGAGATAGCAAGTTCATACCAGCCTCAGGTCCGTTAATTTTGTGTTGGGTCATCAATTCATTCTCATGTGTGTATGCTGGTGTTCTTCCGCACTTAATTCCTCGGAATATATTATTTCGATAAAAGCAATTCCACAATGCACTGATGACTAGTTCGCATATCGAAGTAAGCAGCGTATCGTAAGAGATGACAGAGAAACAAGTGCATTCTGTGCAAAGAACCCGCTTGCGATTCACTTCTCTATTGCACTCGGCGGACTTTTGCCGGACCCGAGAGTATTCGAGGCGCATTCGCCTTGAAATCTCAAACTTGGGGCTGTGAGTAGCCGTGATCAAGAAGGCGGCACTCCAAGGGTCGACGTCCGTCGGGCGTCGATCGCAGCGCAATTTTTTCGTCAGGAGAGGTGAGTTCGCCTCTCCGCCATTTCGGGATGGCTACAGATCGAATGCAGCCAATAAAATGTCGCTGATGACTACTTCTGATAAAGTGCGTAAAATTTCAAATTTGCTACACTCTTACTGATATGCAAGTGATCTTTTGAAAGTATTTCTGAAAGCGTTGCAGCCATCAAAGTACCAACAAGCGGTACGATTGAGGAAATTGCCTCATCGGTCGGACTGCAATTTCAACAAATACTACAATTCAATAATGCAAGTAACGAAAAACTTCTACAGTCTTCGTCAATGAACGCGGGTGAGTTGCGTTCATTCGAA